AGTGTTAAGAGGGAAGTTCATAACTGTAAATGCTCACAGTATAAAAGAAAGATTTAATATCAACAATCTAATTTTACACCTCAAGGAAACAGAGAACAAAGAGAATAGAAACGCATGCCTATAATCCCAGCTACACAGGAGGCTGAGGCAGAAGGATCTTGAGTTTGATGTTTCAAAATAAAAAATAAAAAGGAGCTGGTGATGTAGCTCAGTGGTAACGTATGTCTGAGTTCAATTCTCAGCACCATTTACACCATCTCCCTGCAAAGTCAGTAAAAGAAGAAAACAATAAAGATTAGAGCAGAAACACAAAATAATGATAATAAAACCAGGAGTTGGTTCTTTGAAAAGATCAACAAAATAATAAATGTTAGCTAGACTAAATGTGGGTGGTGTGAGGGGGGGTGGGGTGGAAGGGAGAGAGAGAAACAACTCAAATAATGAAAATCAGAAAGGAAAGAGAGGACATTATAATCAATGACACAAAAATAAAATAGACTGCACCAGGAAGGCACATGCTTAGCTGAGTGGCCCATTGGGTTCAATCCCCAGTATAAAAAACAAAAACAAAAGGAACATGTGTAAGAATGCTATTATTTTGTATGTATGGTGCTGGGGTTCAAAATCTGGGCCCTATGCTTGCTAGGCAAGTGTTCCATCGCTGAATTAAATTCTCAGCCCCAAGAGAATATTATTAATAACTGTATGCTAATAATTAGATAAGTTAGATGAAAGGGATACACACTACCCACCAAGACTGAATCATGAAGAAATAAGAAAATCTGAAATGACTTCTAATTAGCAAGTAAACTGAATCAGTAATCAAAACCTCCCCACCAAGAAAAGCCTAGGACCAGATGATTCCTCTAGTGTATTTCACAAAACACTTAAAGAACTAACATCCACCTTCCACATACTCTTCTGAAAACCTCAAGAGGTCAGAACACTTCCTAATTCATTCTATGAAGCCAAATAACCCTGACTCCAAAGTCAGAGAGAAAAATTATATGCCAATGACCCTTGTGAACACTGATAAAAAAAAAAAACAACTTAATAAAACACTAGCAAACAGAATTCAACAGTACATTAAAAGAACTATACACCATGATCCAAATGGGATTTATTCCTAGATTGCAAAAATGGTCATCACAAAGCCCAAGCACCTAAGTGCTCCAACCTACTGTTTCCTGTCTTCCTCTGGTGCACATTGAATCAGAAGACGAAAGAAGTCTGGACTTTTGGAGCATTTGAGGGGTACTGGCAGCTCAAATGGCAAAGAGTATGTAGAGCTCAAATTGTAAAGAGTATATAGAACAATATATAAAGAGTTCTTACAAATCAATAAGAAAAAAGAATGATAAAATTACTTCAATTGCTAGTTCAAAGAAAAGGAAATATTAAGTAGCTCTTAAACATAAAATAATGCTCTCCTAATAAAACCTCAGGGATGCTGAATTGTATTGTTGGTTGGAAGTCCATCCTCCATCCCAAGCTCTATTTTCTCAAGGAACAGTTCCACTTGGGATCACCAAATTCTCACTATAAAAGTGTTCACAAAGAGCTGGGTACGTTAGTGCATGCTTATAATCCCAGCAACTCAGAAGGCTAAGGCAGGAGGATCCCAAGTTCAAGGTTACCTCAATAACTAAGTGAGACCCTAAGCAACTTAATTAGACCCTGTCTCAAAATAAAAAGCACTGAAGATGTGGCTCAGTGGTAAAGGGCCTCTAGGTTAAATCCCTAGTACCAAAAAATAAGATTTATAAGGAAACTCAAGAAAGCATTGGGCTCATGCTCAACTTCTCTACCCCCAAAATCTAGATGATAAAACAACCAGAGGATAAAAAATCTTTTAAAAAAAGAATAAATTCGGAATCATGCTGCAGTGAGAGGAATGTGGCAGATATTGGGAGTTGGCTATGTCCACAGCTATAACAAGAGGTCATGTAGACCTCTTCTACATAATATTTTTTGAGCATATAAATTAATTTTATAAGGAATTAAAAACATACTGTTTTCAACAGTCAACAAAAAGTGATTTTATTTTATTTTTTTAGTTGTCAATGAGCCTTAATTTAATTTATTTATATGTGGTGCTGAGAATGAAACCTAATGCCTTATATATGTTAGGCAAGCGCTCTACAACTGAGCCACAACCCCAGCCCCCAAATGAGATTTTAAAGTGGCTTTATGGGAACAGACATTTGCTTGGTATGAAAATCAATTCTGTAAATAGGAATCACAGAAGAAATAAACTCTATATCAACATTAAATGCAGAAAATATAGATATGCTACAAAATCTCCTTCAATAAAGTGTGCATTTGTAAGTTGAAAAATATTAACCACACTTGATATTAAAATATATTTTTTGAATAAATTATATACAATATTATGCAAGCAGTATTTTTTTTTTTTTTTTGGTATCAGGGATTGAACTCAGGGGCACTTGATTACTGAACCACATCTCCAGCCCAATTTTATATTTTATTTAATGATAGTGTCTCACTGAGTTGCTTAACATCTCACGTTTGCTGAGGCTGGTTTTGAACTTGCAATCCTCCTGCCTCAGCCTCCCAAGCTGCTGGGATTATAGGCATGTGCCACTGCACCTGGCAGTAGTGTATTTTTTTTATTTGTTCTTTTTACATATGCATGATAGGGAATGTATTTTGGCATATTATACATACATGGAGAGCATTAATCACCAGATTACACAAAGAACACAAAAAACTTTAGCACCAAAAAAACCCAAACAACCCAATCAATAAATGGGCTAATCAGAAGAAATATGAATGGTCAAAAAATATATGAAAACATGCTCAACATCTCTAGCAATTAGAGAAGTGCAAATTAAAACTGCACTGAGAATCCATCTCACTCCAATCAGAATAGCAATTATAAAGAATACAAGGGGGGCTGGGGATGTGGCTCAAGTGGTAGTGCACTCGCCTGGCATGCGCGGGGCGCTAGGTTCGATCCTTAGCACCACATAAAAATAAAAGATGTTGTGTCCTCCAAAAACTAAAAAATGAATATTAAAAAAATTCTCTCTTAAAAAAAAAAGAATACAAGTAACAATAAATGTTGGTGAGGATGTGGGGAGAAAGGTACTCTCATACAATGCTGGTGGGACTGCAAATTGGTGTAACAACTCTGAAAAGCAGTATGGAGGTTCCTTAAAAAACTTTGAATGGAACCACCATTTGATCCAGTTATTACACTCCTGGGTCTATACTCAAAAGACTTAAAATCAGCAACCTAGATGTCCTTCAACAGATGAATGGATAAAGAAAATGTAGTATATATATATACACGCTGGAATATTACTCAGCTATAAAGAGAGAAATTATGACATTTGTTGGTAAATGGATGGAACTGGAGAATATCATGCTAAGTGAAATAAGCCAGTCCCCCCAAAACAAAGGTAGATGTTCTCTCTGATATGTGGATACTAACCCACAACAAGGGGTAGGGAAGGGAAGAATAAAAGTCTATTGGATTAGACAAAAGGGATTAAAGGGAAGGGAGTGGGGAGGGGAATGGGAAAGAATAGTAGAATTAATTGGACATGGGGCTGGGATTGTGGCTCAGCCGTAGAGTGCTTGCTTAGCACGGGCGCAACCCGGGTTGGATTCTCAGCACCACATAAAAATAAAGGCATTGTGTTGTGTCCATCTACAAAAAAGATATTCATTCTCATTCTCTCTCTCTCTCTCTCTCAAAAAAAAAAAAAAAAGAATTAATTGGACATAACTTTCCTAGCCTTTATTTGAATATATACAATCAAGGTAACTCCATATCATGTACAACCACAAGAATAGGATCCTAATTAGAATAAATTACATAATCTTTTTTATACAGGCAGAAAAGCGTTTACTTTCTGAGCTTGTCTTGAAATAGGAGAGCCTAAGTTATTTAATGATTGCCCATGAGGACAATCTAGTTTCTGGGCGATATTTTTGTTTTCCTGATGAAATGAGTGGATATTGTTGGTACTGACATCCTCCTATTCTCCTTCCTTGAGTTCAGACATGAGAGCTACTTTGTGACCATGAAGAAAAGGTTAGAATAATAATTTGTTTTGGAGGGGAGAAAAAGTCTATTTCAGTGACTGTTATCTACCTAGAGCTGAAAGTATCTGCCTCTGTCACAAGTCACAGGGGACCACATGCAGCCAGTGATTTTAGGAAGTTTATAGATTGCAGAAAGCAGGTGAGACCACATTGATGGGTGACTCTGGGAGGTGAAGGTCAAAGGTTCTCCTGGACAAAGTCTCAGGAAGTTATATTGCTTATAGCTGGCAAGTAAATTCTACTAGACTTGAAGGCCTTGGGAGACTAAAGCCAGGACTGGGGCTTAAGAAAAGGGATCCTTGTTATCCACACCGCCTGTGTGCTGTTACCCCAAAGTCATGCTCCCTAGTGCAAATTGGAAGCAAACCACTTCTGTGACAACTATTGCCTACTTCTGAGTTATGGGCAGCTCAGAAGACCTTGATCCTGAACGAGTTCAAGCATTCTGTGGTAGTGGCAAATAAAAGTGGTTTGTGGAAGAAAATAACATCACCTTAGGCTCAAACTCTTTCTACAAATAGTTTTTAAAATACCACATCCAGCAGTCAAAAATAACTAAGAACATATAGGAATGAGAAACAGAAGAAACATTTATAGGCAACAGAAATATCCATTAGGGCTCCTAATACTAAAACTATCAGACATAAAAACTTTGAACTAAGTTTACTATGCTCAAGTAAATAAAAAGACTAAATTAAGAATTCAGGGGCTGGGGATGTGGCTCAAGCGGTAGCGTGCTCGCCTGGCATGCGTGCGGCCCGGGTTCGATCCTCAGCACCACGGGTTCGATCCTCAGCACCACATACAAACAAAGATGTTGTGTCCGCCGAGAACTAAAAAAGAAATATTAAAAATTCTCTCTCTCTCTCTCTCTCTCTCTCTCTCTCTCTCTCCTCTCTCACTCTCTCTTTAAAAAAAAAAAAAAGAATTCAGCAGCAAATTGGAAATCTTAAAAATGAGAAGGCAGATTTTTTAAAAAAGGACATCATCTCTCTCAGATGATGGAAAAATGAAAGAGAGGATATAATCAAAGAAGAGAACTAAAGGATGTCACAAGTCTATCCAGAGAATGAATAAAAGACAAAGATGTGGAGCTCTGGAATCTTCAAAACACCAACCTAGGATCTCAAAAATACTTATAAAGCAATGCAACAACTCAGGATGCTGAAAGTCTATGGAAGAATATGTTCAATGATCTAAAGGGAATTGATTCTGAATCCAGCATTACCCAACTGAAAATACTGTAATAAAACTAAAAAATAGAATAAAAAACAGAGGAGGCCACTCACTGTACATGCCAAAACCTTTAATGTCTTATGAGGAATGACCTTCCAAACTTTCTCACCTTCGCTTCTTTCACCCTTTTATTGCCACTCAGCTCAACTGTTTCTTTTCTTTTTCTATCTTTTATTACTGAGGATTGAATCCAGAGACACTTTTCCACTGAGCTACATCCCTAGCTCTTTCTGTCTTTATGTTGAGACAGGGTCTCACTAAGTTGTTAGGGCCTTGCTAAGCTGTTGAGGCTGATCTCAAACTTGGATTCTTGTTGTCTCAGCCTCCTGAATCACTGAGATTGTAGCTACTAAGCACCACTACACCTGCTCTTTTTATATTCTAAGTTCTCCCACCCTGGACCCTTTGCACTTACTTGCTTTTTCCTCTGGGGGAATGTTCTTCCCCTGAAATATATGCATGGTTTCATTCCTCCTCTTTTCTGGTCTCTACTCAGTCAAGGTGTTTTTGGTCACACAACATGAAATAACATCCCACCAACACTACATATCCCCCTGCCTTCTTTATTTTTTTCCATAGAATCCAACACCACCCAAGATATTATATATTTTCTGTTTTTATGTTTATTTTTGTCTGTTTCTCTCCACAAGAATTTAGATCCATGAAGTTGGGGACTCAGTAAACCTTGTTTTACTGAGTTGCCCCATGCCTAGAATATGCCTGGCCAGATTGGATACTCCATCAGTAATTTGCTGAATGACTGAATAAAGCTGTGAGCTACCTCTTAGATCCATACTTTCTCCCATCCCTTGCCAATTTGCTCCTTTCCTGATTCACTCAATAACACTAGCATCTATCTTTGCCAGTTGAAAAATTTGGAGGCAACATGTTCATAATTCTTTCTCCTTCCACATTCATTCAACGACCAAATCTTGGTGGTTCTGATTGCTAAATACATAATGAATCTGTTTCCTTGCTCACTCCATGGCCACTACACTGATCCAAGTCACCTTCATCTATTTCTGGTACTGGTGTAAAAGACACAATGACTATTTTTCTATACCAACTCTGGTAGCCTAGAATATTCCAGTTCCTCAAGAAGTCTCTGTCATCTATCTCCTGCATGTTTCTCCTATCTTACCTCTCTTATTGCCCACTAAAATGTGGCTTAAAAATGTGCCAAGCCCTCTTTGCCTTCACTATTATCTCCATCAGAAAATGTTCTCCCAGATCTCTGCAGCTGGCACCCTCTCATTCTTGGGTTTCATCTGAAATGTCTTCTTCCAAGCTATTCCCTGCTAATCATTCCTGGCCGCTCCTATCTCATTACTCTGCTTATTTTGTTCTTCACACTAATCCACAGTATCAAAGTACCTTGTTCACTGGACTGTGAGGCTCACAAGGGAATGGAGGTAAGTATCTTTCCTTTTTAGAACCAAACCCAGAGCATTCTACATGCAGCTTTCCTCAGCATGAATGTGAACAGAGCTCTCCAGGCTCCTGATGCCCAGAGCCCAACTTCTGCCTGGTTGTGGAGTGCCAGCATGTTAGCCTCTCACTGATGCCAGGGCCCAGGGTAGGGTGCTAGAGAAGTGTCACAGGGAGGAACTTCAAACATTTTATCTTATTTTAAAAACCTTCACCTTCATGTTTCAAGAGAATTCTTGAGGCAAGAATTAAAGAAGCACCTACCACTACTGTTGACTCCCACTGGCTTCCAGTGGAGCAGTGAACCGGACCCAGTAAGTCCTTGCATATTTCTCGAAGTCGGTATTCAAACCCTAATTATAGAAAAATAGAACAACAAAAACAAAAACAAACAAACAAAAAACAGAAATAGGAACACATTATAAAAAGAAATAAAAATTTGAAAATATGCTAAATTGCTGTGTATATCACAACAACAGAATGAACACTTATTTTATTGCCTACTATGGGCAAATGCTTGTGTTTCTCAGTTTAGGGCATTGAGGGACACAATCACAGATTTTCATTCATTCACCTGTATCCCTAACTATGTATACAGAACCTTCTCTGTGTGCTGGGCCCACAGGAAAACCAGACACGGCCAGTTTTGTGATGATGAACTCCCCACAGTGGTGGAAAATATGGGAAACTGTGGAAGGAAGGGTGTGGGCTGGTGGGATCTGTTTGAGAGAAGACATATCAGCAGCTGCTGTGAGAGGAGATGAGAAGGAAGCAGACTGTGAGGGCCCAACTGCAGAGTGGTGACTGAGAGTCAGAAGCACTGCTGTAGTGGGTGCAACTGCCAGAAAGGCTATGGAAGCAGAGTCTGAGGACTTAGGCAGCATTTGGGGGCATGCCTAGGAAACAGATGGAATCAAAGGGTACAGAAAAGGAGGAATGAACCCTGAGGAATTTGAAAAGTGAGTGGGGTCTCCTTGTAACACTTGATTCCTGCTCTTCTACTTGAGAAAACAAGGAACAGAAATGAGGGAAGGGGTCCTGGTATATTATCTAGGGAAAAACAGATGTATAGAAGATGGAGAAATAAATATAAACAGTAGAAGTGACCCTACAAACAGGTAGTAGAGCTTAGAGGAAGAAGTCTTTATGTGGAACTCAGAGTGAGTACTGCTAAATACCTAGGATAAGGTAAACCAAAGAGGAAGGCAAGGAGTGGGGGTTTGGGGAAAGATGGGGCATGAGGTTCAAGATGTAACTTGAGTACCCTAGGTATCAGAACTAAGGAAGGTGAGTATTTAGGAGAGCTGGTACATACCAGCCAGCCACATGGACTGAGTGGGAAGAGTAAACATCAAACTTATCACTGGAGTTGCTGGGGAAGGAGTTAGGGATCAGTAATGTTTGTTGTCATTACAAGTGTATATAAACACACACTCTTATATTTACAAAGTAGGAGGAAAATATATAAATTCTGAGAGTATATTTGTAGGTGTTTTGTACATTTTTTTTGTACTTAATATTTTTCTTTAAATCATAATCAAAATGGGAAAGTGATGACAAGAACAAAGCAAAAGAGCCAAGGAAAAGATATGGAAGAAGTTCTGGAAGGGGCTGGGACTGTGTAAGAACACAGGGAGAGCTTTGGGAGGGCCAGTCCTATGCCACAATCCTTGGAGGCTATGCTTGAGGGAAGAAGAATTGGTAAGTCAGGACCAGATGCTTGCTCAATGAGAGAAGAAAGTCTGTTAGAGGTTACTCTGTAGATAGTAAAGCCTCTCTTCCAGCACACTTTTCTTTCTGTAGGGTATACCACCAAGAGGTCATAGGTGCTCTGATAGCCTTAGCAGGATCAGGCTGGAGGACAGTGGCTAGAGGGTCATTTGGAATTGCTGGGCAGCAGATAGGCTGTCCAGAGCAGGAGGGACTCAGAGAAGGAAAAGAAATGCTGCCAGAAGATGCCTTTGCCTTGAGTGACAGGCCTTGGTGGCAGACAGGAGCCAGAACATCTAGTCTGCTCCTATAAGGCAGGTCTTTCCATGCATGTTTCCATCCTCCTTCCCCACTGCCAACCTTCCTGTCTTGTTCCTATGAAGAACATCCTCAAGCCTACTCTACTCAGGGCCTGGAGCTCATGACAGGGCTGAATGCCTACTGAGCTGCCCTGATTATAGCTCAGGCTGGGAGGTGGGAGGTGTGGTCCCKCTTGCTGTCAGGGAGGCCAGAGCCTTTGGGGACAACCATGGGGACCTATAAGGAATGCAAAGGAGTTCAGAGAGCTCTAGGCCACTACATCTCTTCCTTGATTCCCAGGGACTAAGCTAGGCCTTAGAAAATAGAGGAGAAAATGGAGAAGGCCACTTGGGTCACAGGACCTCACCTTCATTCACGAGGTACCGTGCATAAAGAAGGAGCCAGTGGCGGTACTCATGGCTGGACTGTAGGGTGAGTGCCGCTGCAACCTGGTTCTCTAGGTAGGCCAGCGTGGTCTCCTGCTGTACCACATGAGGCACGGAGAAAAGCCGGGCAGCTTGCCTTCCAGAGCTGTAGAGACCAACAAAGCAGGCAATATGAAGCAGAGGGCAGTGTTCAGGAATGCTCCCACATGCTCTAGGGTACCGGGACAGAGCTCGCAGGGGTGGTAGGCATCTGGTTGTAGAAGTCCTCCCATCTATCAACCCAGTTTATTGGCAGGTGCCAGAGACTTTTGTTGACCTGCCCATCATCATATCCTAGCTTTGGGCTTCTTCGTACTCCAAGAATATTCTACAGTGCACCTACCATCTAGGTCTCTGGGATGATAGACCAGTGGTCGATTCCCCACCCACCCACCCCAAATCCTGCCCCTTATAGGTATTTATGACATTTAGCATCCTCAGACTATAATCTGGACCCCTGAAGTGACAGGGCCTATATTCCAGCCAACCATGAAATATTACTTGATATGGATCCACAACCTTAGAGACCCCCCCCACCCCCCCGACCCCCGATTTCTGTGTTGAGCAGCAACTGGGGTACAAAGACAGACAAACAGAGACTAGGCCTGGTTTCCTCCCAGGGCAGCCCTGTTGATAGTGGCCAAAGTTCTCAGCTCACATACTTGGAGGTGCGTCCCTGGATTATGGCTAACGGTCCTGAGCACAGCATGGCATCCTGGGATGGCAGGCTGCTCCTAAAATCCGCACATTGGGCTAGTGAGTCTTGCTTGTCAGAAACCAGGTTCCTGAAGAATCAAAGACAGGATCAAAGGTCAGAAAAATCAGGAGGCGTACCAGAGGAGGCTGTCAAAAAAGCCACAGAGGCTGGGGTTGTGGCTCAGTGGTAGAGTGCTCGCTTAGCACATGCGAGGCCCTGGGTTCAATCCTCAGCACCACACAAAAATAAATAAAATAAAGGTATTGTGTCCAACTACAATTAAAAAATAAATATTAAAAAAAAAAGCCAGAAAGAAGTAAGCCCCACTGGGCACAGTGGCGCACCCTGTAATCCCAGTGGCTTGGGAGGCTGAGACAGGAGGATCTCAAATTCAAAGCCAGCCTCAGCAAAAAGGGAGGCACTAAACAACTCAGTGTAGATTCTGTCTCTAAATAAACTGCAAAAAAACCAGGGCTGGGGATGTGGCTCAGTAGTCAAGTTCCCCCGAGTTCAATCCCCAGTACCACCTCCCAACCCCCCAAAAAGAACTAAGCCCCATCCACCACATTGGCAGCACACAAACAGAGGCTGACAGTTAGTGCACTTCAGTACAAGAAGCCCATTAACTGGCAGGTTTCCTAGTTAAGAGCCTAATAAATTATATTTTCATGGAAAGGTTACTGATAGGGTTCTCACTATGAATATTTTAGCTTCAGTCTCACTTCCTGATGACTAAGGTGTTACTGTGTGTGAAGTATGTTTTGGATGCCTGGCTTACACAATGCTGTGGCCTACCCAGGGCCTGTGTGGCCTGGGTCTGTTACAACTCCAGGGAAAGCCAGTCTCTAGCATTTCTATGCCTCTCCAGCATCCCCAGGAAGGCAGTTCTTCTACCTCCTCAGAACTATTCTGTTAAGAAAACATTCTCCAGATACTTTTTTTGAGATGGGATCTTGCTCTGTTGCCTACATTAGACTTGAACTTGGGATCCTCTTGCCTTAGCCTTCAGAGTAGCTGGCACTATGGGCATGCATTATTGTAATCAGCTTTCCACACATTTTAAACAGCTAGTTGTCTTTATAAATGTGTACAAAATACAAGGATGACTATAAAAAGTCGACATGTCTTTTTTAAATAATTAGCTCATTTCCATTATTATGGTAATCACACATATTCACAAGCTTTTTGCAATTTGAGAGGGTAGGTGACAGAGTTTTTTTGTTTTTGTTTTTTAACTGAATAATAAAGTATTTGGCAAGTTTTAACAGAAAATGGGCTAGAAGATAGCAAACTTTAAAAAGGGGGCTCTAAATTCAAAACTGAACGAAGGAAAAAAAAATCACCCATATGAGTGAGTTTGTTTCCACCATTACTAATTACTGAGGGGCTACTTTGCTCCTACTAAGTTCACAACATTGACTAACATTGGCAAGGCTACTATGAAGCCACCTCTCCTATGCTGGTGTTGGTTAAAGAGGCCAGTCTGAAAAATATCTGTCAAGAATCATAAAAATTTCCAAATACCTATTCTAATAAAACAGGCTCAAGGGATGGGGATGTAGCTCAGTGTTAGGGCTAATCTAGCATGAATGAGGCCCTGGGTTAAATATTCAATATTGCAAAGAAACAAACTAAACACACACACACACACACACACACACACACACACACACACACACACACATCCCAAAAACCAGCCCCAGAAAATAATGCAGCAGGCCATTCTCCTGTGTACAGGCTCTGAGAGCAGAGGCCACAGGCCAGCAGCAGCCCACAGTGATGGTAGAGTATATACTAGCTGCCATTCAGAGTTCAGAGCCTGACTCCCAAGACCTGAAGCCTTTGCTCAGCTGTCCAGTATAGACAATCCCATGAAGCAGGGGCAGGGTGGGGATGGAGTTTCTTACCACGTAGAGAGTGACGGATTAAAGCAGTACGCTTTCCCATCAGATAGGTTCATCACTGGGATTCCATGCTGCGTCAGCAAGATCTGTGACACTGTCATATCACTTCCTGGGGGACACCACAGGAATAAGTTCTGGTGTGTTCTGATCAGCAAGTGTTTGCATCTAAGGAGAAATCTGAACCCTGGCTCCCATGATCCCAGCAATAAGGTCTTTAATGATGACTTGGAAAAGAGGGAAAGCTACTTATAGTGCTCTGTGTGAGCCATTTTCACTAATATTCAACAAGATCTTTCTTATCTCTCAGGGACCCATTGAATCTTTTGCCCAGAAAACCTGTCTCCTTGCTATGTAAGTGTATCCTGTCTCACTTGGGCTGGATCCTGAGCCTGGCTTTCTATCTAGGCTGAAGTGGCCCATGTGCATCAGATCTAGGTCTCAGTCCCCAAGGGAGGAGGGGTCCGCAGGGGTTACCTGCCAAGATGGAGTGTAGAGACTCTTCTTTCACCACAACCACCTGCCTGTGAACATCCCTAAGAGGGAGACAGGGAACAACTTACTCTCCACCTGAGATAAACACATCAAAGTGTGTCTCAGCCACTCAGGTACCCTGGTCCCTACAAACAAACCCACAGCCCTCCATCCAGAGGTCCCAGGCAGCTGTCTCCAATGCCCACACCCATTCTAGGAGAAGCCAGCTACAGAAGTCATATCAGGAGTGTGGCCACCTTTGCCATCTGGATCCCACTGCTGATGAATCCACCTAAGGACCCTGGCACATGCCATTAGGCAGTGTACTTTGTCATGCAGTTTGTTCCTGTAAGGATGTCAGCAGAGTAGGTTGGCTGATTTATTTCCCTTTGCATTGCCTCCTTAATCCTTAAGCCACAGGGGCAGCCAACACAAGCAGTGTTGCTGACTTCTCAGGGCCTCCTCCTGAGCCCAACATCTGCCTTTTCTGCTGTGTTCCCTACCCCTGCAGTGAGGTGGGAAATGCATAGCACTGTCTTGCATGAAAACCACCCCACCCTGTGCCTGCCTCTCACCAGACAGACAGTGTAGCTGCAGCAGTGAGCGCCATGACATAGGAACCTGTGCAGTGCAAAGTAGAGATCGGGGACGGCAGGAGGATGGGAGGGAGGAGGCGGCGACCACAGGTGGAGAACACCGACAGCGTCCTCTTTTCACAGGCGACACACACCACATCACTGTGAAGGCAGAGGAGGGGCAGATGTCACAGGGACCAGGTGCTGCAGCAAAGGCAACAACCAGGTTGATGCAGAGCATTCCCTCTGCCTGCTTCTGACATAGCATTCTGCTGAGTAGATGAAGCCAGAGAGAGAGGCCAGAAGAAGTTGTACAAGGACTAGGTTGGGGTGGGGACAGCAAGGCAGAGCCTACCTGAGATTTCCTGAGAGACTTCTGTTCTACTCCTTCCCATATGGCTATTCATACTTTTCTGAGCTAACAAGGAGTGCAAGGGCACTCAGCCCTTGGAGTACCACAGCCGTACATGATGGTCACCAGGAAGCATGCCTCACTCATCAGATGAGGAGGCCACAGAAAGTCCATGTGACAGTCTCCTGGGTATCAATAGCCAGAGAAGTCCAAACAAGGTCTCTGCTGAGGCAGGCTGGGAGAGTGTGGGGAACTGGTACAAGTCGCCACAAGTGATACCAGCAGTGTACTCAGAGTGCTGTTATGGTTGAGCTTGGAGAGGCGCGTCACTCTGAGCAAGAAATGCTTCAGAGAAGATGTTTCCATTCCACACACTGTCCAATGCCTCACTTGAGTGACTACCAGACTCCTTAGGTAAGCCCAGCACAAGTGGGCTTCTGCCATTTCTTCAAGGGACCGCTGAGGCTCAGTCATAGGTGCAAGAGGCTAGAACTCAGACTCCAAGAAGCAGGGGCAGGTATGTAGCCAGCAAGGCCCTGACCATAGCAGACCATCCTAAGTCCCCTCCAGGACTTTTATCCTGCTGAGCCAGGGCCTATGGTCTACAGTGCCTGTTGTCCCAGTAGGCCGAGAGTAAGAAGGTTGGCTAAGAAAAGAGCTCTGCCAACTTATTCCTAATGTGACATGTTACTGGTCTCTGAAAAGGGAGAAGCAAGTTGAGGATCTTTTGTTTATAAAATGTCTACTTTGAAAGTATGAATCTTGAGAAAACTTCCAGTAGGACCTGGAAGCAGGGAGTTCTCTGTGTTGCTGTGACTGAATTTTATCTGCTCATTTTGATGGTCAGGGCCTTCCTTGAGCCCTGTAAAGGAAAGAGAAATCTGAATCCTGGCTCAGGAAGCTGTTGCTCTAGGCTGTAGCACTAGGGAGCAGGTCTGTAGGCTGGGCCTGAGTAGGTGGGATTATATAGGAGAAGAAGCCCTCGGTTACCTAGCAGGACCCCCTCAATAGCTGCTGTGTTGCTATGGGGATGATTGTGCTAATATCCTTGGCCTTCAATTGAGGCAGGCCTTCAACTGAGGCATGCCATCTGCCTTGGGATCGGGGATGGAGAGTGGAAGCTCTTGTAGCATCCAAAAAAAAGGTAGCTGGGATTAGGAGCTCTATGTGCTTTTCCTGAAAGATAATTTCAGTGAGAAACACAATGGTGGGGCTCTTCTAGGTTTAACACTATAAAAATCACTCAGGGCCTATGGGAGTCCTGACCTAAGACATAAGGCCAGTGTTTGCAGACCTGTGTGAAAGCATTTACATATGACCTTATAATAGAAAACTAAGGATCTAATTGAAATAATTGCATCTGAGTGATCATCGTTAGAAAGTCCTTGTAAGGGTTTCTACCTAACTAGGGCCCTATGCCTGGCAGACACCTGAGTCAGTCCTCTTTTCAGATGGAGCACAGGAAAGACAGAGCTCATACTCAGTGCCAGGAGCCCATGGGAAGACACTGTGTAATTAATCATTGAATTAAGATCTCTCCCCAAAGTGAAGAATCTGGGGAGGACAGGGTTGGGGACATAGGAGGCAGTCATAAAATCCTGTCCTAACTTATATGAAAATCTGGGTCTAGGGAAGGAAACTACTGAGGTCAGCAAGAGCCAGGCAGACTTCAGCCTGGAACTTGAGACTTTTGAGAATCTAGCCAGACAAAGAAATAAGACCACCAGATTCAGGGCCTGGCCTGGGTGATTCTCAAGACTCAGGTTCCCCATCTATAACATTGGAATAATCATAATGATTTCATTGATGAGGTAGGGACTGATATGAGAAATGCCCATGATTGGCCTGGACTAAGGCCCAATGTGAGCCTCAGTGGAAGCAGTCCTCCCTCAGACAGGCTAAATTCCAGGACAGTAAAAGTGCCACCCAACATAGCTCATGATGTCTACTCTACATGACAAGACAGGTTCCTGCCTGCCCTTACCAGCTGCCGGCAGCAGTGAGGATCCGGCTAGTGAGCACTGTCTCCCACTCCTTTCCTTCCCTGTTGCACTTCAGTCGGCTCAGTTTTACACCCCCCACGGCCGTTACTTCATTTTCCACCTCAATGTACATGGAGGGGTCAGAGCTCACCTAGATGGAGGAAAGCAAACACACATCTTTTCAGGTGAAAGCATGCTTACTCAGACAGTGTTCACAAGACAAGTGAGATGTTCAGGGGCTCTGCAGCCCTGGGCTGTGAAATAGGGGGAAGACACAGACAGGTAGTCTAGTTGGTTGGCCAACAAAAGAGGGTAACATTTGGTGGGGAGCTGTGAAGGAAACAGGACAGGGCAAGAGGGCCACCATGTCATCTCACAGGGGGATGACTTCCCAAGAACATGCTGAGAGTAAGAACTGCAGCCAACCAGGGACAGAGCTGGGAGTGAGACTTGGATTTCTAGCCTCCTTCTTGAAAGATCTTCAAAAACTGCAGTATTTAGTAAGAAGAAAGCCATTGTCGTACTGGGAGAAAAGTCTAGAAAACTTCAATATTCTCTCTGGCAATGAGTCTCTGTTCATTCTGAGGCTATGCTGGTGAGAAAGTCCCCAGCATAGCATGCATGAGAAGTGCCTACTTCAGTGCCTGGCACTAAGTGAGCTCAGCTTTGTATGTCTGGAGAGCTAACCAACACAGGCAGAACAGCTTATAAGTTTGTACTGTGTAGTCATACTAGCAGGTACAGCTGGAGCAGATGAAGGGATCCACTAGGAGCCATATCCCCTTTATAGACACCCAGAAAGCAAGCATAGCCTCAAGTGGCACTCAAAAGTGAAGATATTCAGGGATGGTTTAGTTTGGAAGGGAAGTTTTGAGTTGCTAACTGCTAGAGAAGCTTCCTGTTTCTATGCACATCAGCAGTAAAAACTGGATGGGTCCTACACTTATCCTTTGGCTCCGCCTGTTTCATTCCTCTGTATTATGGCCCACAAAGACCTATGGCTGGGAAGGGCTGATGTCTGCCCTTCATTGCCCTATGAAGTCTAACCTGGGCCTGGAGTAGTGTGCAGTCAATGGGATATGACCCATAGATAGGGTCCAAGAATGTTGCCTGAGGACTTGAGGGTGTGTAGAGAGGTCACTATGGGCAAAGCTGCCAAGGAGGGAGAAGCCTGGACACTGTTGCTGGGTTTGAGGGATTATCTGTTCTAGAAATGTGTTTGAATAAACTCATGGTTATAAGCTTCTCTAAGAGCTCTATCAGCTCTGAGGATGACCCTGTTCCAAGCATCAAGAAGCAGACAGAGGGGCTGGGGATGTAGCTCAAGCGGTAGCACGCTTGCCTGGCATGCGCGGGGCGCTGGGTTCGATCCTCAGCACCACATAAAAATAACATAAAGATGTTGTGTCCACCAAAAACTAAAAAATAAATATTAAAAAATTATCTCTCTCTCTGTCTTAAAAAAAAAAAAAAAAAAAAGCAGATAGGCCAATGGAACTGTCAGGAGACTGACCAATGACCCAACAGTTTCATGGGCACTAAGACTGAGGCTGCCAGGACTAAAGGTGGAGATGCAGGAGGCCTCCAGGAAACGAGACACCCAAGACAAGTCTTAAAGGGGCTGGTAATCCAGAAGGAGTGATAGTAAGGGCAACTGAGCATTTGGGACTTCAAAGGTAAACCATGGAGAAAGAGGCCTAAAGGTGGGAAGGAGAAGAAGCTATTAACATTCTTGCCAAGATTGGTAAGTACTCTGATTAACTATGACTTCCTCCAGAAGGGAATAGAGAGCCACTACAAACCAGTCCCCAAGGCACTGAAAAGACAGAGTTTATACTAGGAAGATAAATGTATGTACATGCCTTCAAGGGAGTCATTGGAGTGTCCCGGCACTTACCTGGAGGGTGAATGCTCTCTGGGGGCCTGGTATTGGCAGCTTCAGTGCAAGTGCTGGTGCAGTCAGACACATGGCCTCCTTCTCTGCAGTAAGGGTGGCTGGAGACTAGAAGAGCAGAAACATCCTTGAGCCCCACCCCAACACTACAGGGGAAGCATTAGGTAAAAGTAAGTCACCCAAAAGTGAGGCTGGGCATTTGTACTTACTGTGAGGGAGAAAGCAAAAGAGAATGCTACAAGTATTCTCACCTCACAGATAAGGGAGCTGACACCAGGGAACTTGCTAAAGGATTCTGGCTGGACTGAAAGGGGGGTGAGGAAGTGTGGCCTCCGCACTCCATGATACATTCCCTGATGTCTGTATCTAAGCCAAATGGTTCCCAAAGCATCCCATACTGACAAGGTGCACCATGGCAAGAAGGGCCTCCCAGTGCAGAGTCCAGGAAGGTGAGTGGGAGCAGGCAGGATGAATCTCAGGCCTCACCTGGACAGACAGAGACATAGGCAGGAGACGGGAGTCCTTCCGAGGACGCCCCTTTTTCTTCTTTTCCACTGTCTCTACCTCAAGCTCAAGTTTTCGCTTGGATAATGAGGATGGCTTAGCCAAGGGGACCTTTTCATCACTGTCACTGCTGCTCTCTAGGAGATCCCGGGGCCTCAGCTCTTTCACAAGGTTCTGTTCTTTCAACCTGCACAAATAGACACCATGACTTTCTCCACACAACTATTAATTTTGTAATGTTTAAAAATCCATATTAATCCCCAAATATTGATTGAAAAATTGAAAAGTTATTACTCTTTTTAGATCCATCAGAGAATGGAGGTCAAAAGAAAAACTGACACCCTGAAAACTGAAGATGAATAAAGACAAAAAACGCAGCTGGGGCTGGGGATGTGGCTCAAGTGGTAGCGTGCTCGCCTGGCATGCGTGCGGCCCAGGTTCGATCCTAAGCACCACATATAAACAAAGATGTTATGTCCGCCGAGAACTAAAAAATAAATATTAAAAAATTCTGTCTCTTTAAAAAAAAAATCCTATTAAAAAAACAAACAAACAAACAAAAAACGCAGCTGACCTCGATTAGAAGCCAAAGTGGGTACTGGCAGACATACTTTCAAAGTTAACAGTCATGTTGCTGAAGGCTGAGTGTGGATAAGATTGAGAGTTGAAACTCCTTGTTAAGAGGGTACCCAAGTGTTCCTTATTTTTACTTTCAAGTACCCTTCCAGGTTGTCAGTGTGAAGATTCAGAATGAAGAAAATAGTTCCCTGTGTTCTTTTAGGGTTTGGGGAAGGTAGGTAGACATTTTGAAACATGACCAGACCATACTCTATAGCCAATTCTGCCCTCCAGTGAAACTACCTTGCCAGAGCTTTATCTCACCTGGAGGAAGGGCAGGCAGGCAATTAACCAATCCAAGCCCCTTCTAGCTTCTGCCCTCTTCCACCACTATAGGCTAAGAAACTCTTTTGAAAGAATATAGTTAGGCCTAGGGATTCATACTAGAGCCCAGGGATTCTGATCCAACAACGTAAAAGGGAAAGTTAAGCATGAGATTATAGAATGTTTCTACTTCCTAATACCTCATCATCACATCAGCAAGGCTTCAGTATAATAACAGTAAATTACAACTGAGAGAGCTGCAAAACACTGACACCAACCCTCCCCCACTTTTTTTTTTTTTTTTTTTAAATGTGATACAGGGGATTGAACTCAGTGGTGGTGTACCACTAATCCCCAACACTTTTTACTTTTTATCTTAAGATAGGGTCTTGCCAGGCTGGGAACTGACCATCTTCCTGCTCAATCCCGTGAGTGGCTGGGATTATATGCATGTGGTAATTTGGGTGTAGTGACACCCAGTTCATAGACTGTATTTAAAGAGTTTCTAGGGAAACCTAAAGACTACAGACAAAAGGTCACTGGAAGAAACTGAAGCTTCTGACCTACAGTTATAAGAAAGAGAAAACAGCCTAACTCCTAGCCAGATAAACAAAACCTCATGAATGCCTGTATACCTCTTTTCCACTTATCCAATACAATATGCCTAGCTTTACAAGATATGATAAAAGGCAAAATGAAATAAACCACAACCAAAAAAACCCCAAAAGCAAAAGTAAAAAACAAAATAAGAAACAAAAATATACACAATGCTGAGACACAAGAAACAAAAACATACATAGTGTAGAGACAAAGCAGATATCAGAGTTAGGTACAGCAGAAATTTTGGAATTATCATACCAAGATTTTAAATAACTGATAAATAAGCTAAGGACTCCAATGGAAAAAGTTGAAGAGATGGGAAGTCTCAGAATTTAATAATAATAATGATAATAATAAAAGCTGAGAATATGAAGAACAAGAATAGCAAAGAGCTTCTCCAAATCAATTAAAGATACCAAAGTACTGATACATAAAGCTCAGAACACTTACAAGATAAATACCAAATATCTATACCTAGGCATAACATACTCAAACTATAGAAAACCACAGAAAATTTAGAAGACAGGAGGGAAAAAACCCTCTTTATAAGACAAAAGGATAAACTACATTATATTATCCATTCAAGAGAAACCCACTAAGTCACATGCAGTGATGAACATCTACTCAGAGGCTAAGGTAGATGGATCACTTATGCTCAGAAGTTGGGACTAGCCTGGGAAATAAAGTAAGATCCTGTCTAAGACAAACAAACAAATGCACCAACCTAGAAATCTGTATCCAGTGAAATCAAGCCTCAAAAATGAAGAAGATATAGACTTTCTCAGACAAAAACAAATACCTGAAGGAATTTGTTAGCAGACCTGCCTTGCAAAAAATGTTATTTCTTCAAAGAGAAGGAAAATGATGTATCTCAGAAAATCATATCTGTATGAGGAAAGGAAAACTGTTAGAGAAGGAATAAATGGACATAAAAGAAAATATTTTACTCTTCTCAACTGATCTAAGAGACAACTTTTTATTCAAACTAATAATAGCAACAATGTATTAAATGATTAAAATTTATAAATAAATGAAGTGGTAATAATGTTATAAGGCACAAAAGGAGAAATTTGGAATATTTTGTATTAAGATGCCTGTACTATCCATGAAAGTAGTCTAGATTGATTGCAAATATTCACTGCAAACACCAGAGCAACTGCAAGAAAGTTTTAAAAAGAAGTATAATAATGTTGAGAGGAGAGAAAATGGAATTATATAAAATACTCAATTAGAAATGGAGGGGAAGATAAAAAATAAAGGACAAATCCAATGAATAGAAACAGTTACCCACATGTAGACACTAATCCAACTATATCAATAGACACTTCAAATGTGAATGCTCTAAATACACCAATTACAGACAAAACGAATGAAAAAAATGTTTTTAAAAGATGGGTTTATATTAAACATTTAAAAAAATTTTTTAAGATGTTGATGGACCTTTATTTTATTCATTTGTTTATATGAGATGCTGAGAATTGAACCCAGGGTCTCACACATGCTAGGCAAGTGCTCTTACTACTGAGTCACAACTCTAGTCCCTAAACATCTTTTAAAAATATTTTTTCTTAGATGTAGATGGACACAATATCTTTATTTCATTTGTATAGTTTTATGTGGTGCAAGGGATCGAACCCAGTGCCTCACACATGATAGAGATAGGGCATATAGCTCAGTGGGAGAGGACATACTTAGCATGGCCAAGAACTTGGGTACAATCTAAAGTGCACACACAAAAAAGTAAAGGAATTCTAACTGTTTGACATTCTGGAAGAGGCAAAACTATGCAGACAGTAAAAAGAATCTGTGGTTGCTAGGAGTTAAGGGGGAGGGAGGGATTAGTTGGAGGACAAAATTTTTAGGGCAGTAAAACTATTCCTTTTTTTTTAAGTTTTTTAGTTATAGTTGGACACAATATATTTATTTTGTTTATTTATTTTTATGTGGTGCTGAGAATCGAACCCAGGGTCCTTCACCTGAGAGGCAAGTGCTCTACCACTGAGCTATAACCCCAGCCCCAGCAAAACTATTCTGTGAAGTACTCTAAGGGTGGACTGAAAACCCATAAAATGAATACCACCAAAACTGAACCCTAATGTAAACTGTAAACTCAGTGATAATAATGTGTTCCACATCAGATTTTGACAATGGAGGGAGGCTTTGTATTTATGGGGACAGGGTCACATGGGAACTCTAATTTCTACTCAATTTTACTCTGAAACTAAACTGCCCTAAAAATAGTCTATTTAAAAACAAAAACAAGAAATAAACAAGAGATAAAGATATGCTAATCTAACATTAATCTAAAAAAGCTATATTAATTTCAGACTAAGTAGGCACCAGAACAAGAAAAGCTAGCAGGGATAAAGAGAAGCATTACACAATGATAAAGGGGTCAGTTATCCAAGGAGACCTAACAATCCTTAATTTGTGTGTGTCTAACAACAGAATATCAAAATATATGTGCCCAAACTAATAGACTAGAAGGAGAAATATATGAATTATAGTAGAGATTTTAACATCCCTATAAGAGAAACAGATCTAGTAGATAGAAAATCGATATGGAAATAATTATTTGAACAATATCGTCATATGTGTGTGTGTGTGTGTACACATACTAGGGAGTTGGACCTGGGGGCGCTTTACCACTCTCTTTTCACTTTGACCCAGTTTCCATGCTGGCCATGAACTTGTAATTCTCTTGACTTAGCTTCCCAAGTAGCTGGCATGTACCATGGTATCTGGCAATCATTTGGACTTCACTGACATTTTAAGAAATACTTTTTTCAACAATAGTAGAATATACATTTTTCTCAAGCTCACATGGAATAGTCATCAAAATCCACCACCATTCTAGGCCATAACTCTATATGTTCTCAGACCACAATGAAATTAAACCAGACATTAATCACTAAAAGATAATAGGAAAATACCCAAATATTTAGAGACCAAACAGAAATAACATTTGTGGCACAGAGTAAAAGCAATGTGGCAAGAGTAAAAGGGAAATTTAAGGCACTGAATGTATATATTAGAAAAGAAAAATCTGAAGTCAATAATTTAAACTTCCCCATCATAAAAAACGAACAGTAAGCCTAAAGTAAGCAGAAGAAATTAAAATAAAAATTACAGATATCAATGAAGTTGAAAACATAAAAACAAAAGAGGAGGAAATCAATGAATGAAAAAGTGAATTTTTTTAAAAAGATCAGTAAAATTGTTAAACTTGTAGGCAATTTAATCAAGAAAAAAGGAGAAGACACAAATTACTCAGAAATGAAGATGACATTCTCACTACTGATTTTCATGGACACAAACATCCTAAGAGGAATAAAATTCCTCTTCTTTTCAACACTTCTATTCTCGAATATTTGAATACTTAGATGAAGTATACCAATTCCTTGAAAGAAATCTACCAAATCTACCAAAACTCACACAAGGAAAATTTAGATCATTTGAATAAATCTATTTATTAATCAAATGGATTCAACAATTAATAACCTTCCAAGAAAGCATGAGGCCTAGATTGTTTTACTAGTGATTTCTATCAAACATTCAAGGAACAAATTATGTCAATTCTCTACAATCTGTTATAGAAGATAGAAACAGAGGAAATATTTCCTAATTCCTATGAGGCTATCGTTATCCTAATACCAAACCCAGATAAAGACATTACAAAATAGAAAAACTCTTAACAGATGGAAC